TAAACTTAAATAAATGAAAAAGAAAGGACAAGAGTTTGTAGAACAACAACAAATACAGAAAATGGAATTTGTTAAATAGCTACTTCATTTTGACAGATCAAATCCCTTTTCAAGGAGTGCTGACAAAGATGATGAGCAACTACAGATTTTTCTTCTCAGTGTAGCAATCTAATGTGATATAAAGAAGAAAATATTTAAAGTGCAAACATATTGCAATCAGTGTTCCCTTGTCCTAATATTTTTCATATTAAGCTTCACACCTTTATCACTTGGTACTGTATTTATTAAGAAAACAGAGTAATTCATACTATAAGCAAGTGCCATATTGACCCAGCCTACCTGGGAACTGTGGCTGCTGCCTTTCAATTAGGACTTAAAAACAAGGTTGCCATTAAAGAGCAATTCTGTACCTGCCACAAAAGGCACTATGTTTCCTCTGAAAACGCCTCTAGTATTTTCTGACGGTTTACTATCAAAAAGACAAACTGATTGCTCAATCTTCTTAAAAAACAGAAGTTGAAGAAAAATTTGTAGCTTGATACTGGAGCTATGGCAAGAGAAAAAAAGGTACAGTATATATCACAAACTGATCCAAATTTGTGTTAGAATGGCTAAAGTGAGGGGTACAAGTACCTGATACACAGTAAATTGAGTGCCCCTGGTGGTGCAGTGGCTAAACCGCAGCGTTGTCAACGCTGAGATCTGGGTTCGATTCCCGGTTAGGACACTCCCCGGGCAGATGGAGCTCGCTAGCCCTGTAAGGCAATCCATCTACGTCCTGAGGACCTCGCTGCCACCGTCCAAGCTCGCTTGGCCCCGGCAGATGAACCTCAGGATTAAAGGGTGGACTCAGTTCCGCGCACACTGTGTCTCACCTAAAAAATCCAATGCGCAGGCTGGAAGGTGTAAAGACCTTCCCCGGTTCTTCGTTCGCGAAGAGACTGGCCATTACATTACACAGTAAATGCCAAATTTTTTTAGTTTTAAGTACTACTTGAAAGTGTACACATAAAAGCAGCATAATAAAATACATATAAAAACCTCAAGACCTAAACTTTTACCTTGAATAGTTCACACTTTTTTGGATTAAAAACAAACAAACAAACAAACAAACAAACAAAAACAACTTCAGCTGTTACTGAAATGCTTAAAACACTGATGCATTGCTAAGTCCAAAAAACTTCAGTCTTTTGGGAAACCTTTAAAATTATTAAAGAAAACAAGCATCCAAAACCCCTGTTAAAGCAGAACAGCCTTATCATGGCTTTTCTCTACCTTACTGAAGACAAGTTTAAGGAAAGTCTTTT